TAAAGCCACGCTGTCTTTCTCTACCACTACAACGGTAAATAGACTACTTCGTCCTAATTGGAGCAATTAGTGTTTAGTCTGGCCGCTTTGTGTGTGTGTGTGTGTGAAGTGTGAAGTCGTTGGCACTTTCTGTGTATAGCGAAAGCTCGTTTACTACATCCGAAACCGGGCACTCGTCAAAAAATTTTCGGCTTAACTTCTCCGCCAAAAGAAAATTACAATGTGGAAGTCTGAAAAATGTTAAGGCTATTGCCTTTACTAAACGAATACTGTTTCAACGGTGTGTGCGGCGAAACTATTCGTCTATGTCTTATTTGAGATTTAAAGGTAACATTCATATTATTTACAGAAACTAAGCTTCGACGTACGTTATCTCTGTTGAAGTGGCGAAACGTTTTTGGGGCTTCACGCGTTGCAAAATTTGGTCCTGAAGATGAGATATTCATTCGATCGAGCGTGATCGATTCCTACAATGATAACCTAAACCATACGATTTCTTACGTTTCGACACAATGACAAAAAAAAATGTAGGCTTTCCGGCTCGAAACGATATCCATTTACGATAATGCATATGCTATGTATCTCATATGTGTTACTGCATTTTAATTACAGCCTGTTAATCTTCCGGCATATTTCGATAGCATCGACTTTTAATGCGCAAACAGACTGTGCTTACGTCTCCTATTTAAAAATGTCGTCATCTACCGACAGTTCTTCGTAGAAATTAGTATCTAACAGAATTGAGTTGGAAAAGCAATTGCACCTTCAATCTGGCTGAGCATCCTACGTACAAGCACATGCACAAATAGCACAAACTACGTGACCTTGTGTAAAAATGTAAATGTGCCAATGCAGATTGGTCTACTGTGCCAAAATGCCCTTGTGGAATACGTGTCAAGGCTCGCTATTTTTTTTGTGTCGGAAGAAAGTGTAAAAGAGGCGCCAACGAGTCTGACTCGGCACAATTGTCGTCTGAGCCCTTAACGCAAAATACGGGCATCGTCCACGGCTGATCTGCCATACCACGGCTAAAACGAGATTTTGCCGTTACCACAGTTGTTGTTGTAGTCATCTTTAGAACGGTGTAGCTCTTCGTCGTTGATAAGATATTGAGACAAAGAGGAAAAGGGGGAAAATCCTTGCATCGGATAGAAAGTCGCTGTTTGGGAACGGATCCGGATGTTCCGACGGTACAACGGAATGCAACATGAGCTCACAGCTGAAAGCTGCTCCCGGCGACTTCGCGAACAGCACGCGACCTTTCAAAAGGCATTTATCCTTACGTCAGCAGGGGCAGGCTTGATGGGTGTGTAGCGATACGAAGCGGAAACGGCCTATCTAGGAAAGAAGGATGAAGACACTGCTGAAATAGTAGTTGCTGAATAAGATATGATAGTAAAGTCAGTCAGATATCTCCCGTGGAGACATGTAAATTTAGCATAGACATGCAAAAGGTACACATACATAATGTAGAACGACGTAGTGATAGCTCGATTTTAACTGATATTTTCCGGACTGTTACGAAAATGGGGCGAGTGCTCGTCTTGAGAGAGAGAGAGAGAGAGAGAGAGGGGGGGGGGATGAGACGTCTTGGGAGGTTTTATAAGGAGTAAAGTTCGATTTTAGCATTGTGTCGTAGACCTGCATATAACGGATGTCTCGGATAATTGTATAACCTCGCAAGGGAAAACAGGTACTTCACATCCCTCGCAATCGTACATAGTGGAGATGTTCGCACCTGCAATTACTTGTTGCTTGCATCATCCGTAACATCTCGAAGCATTTTGACCAATTTGGTTTGAAAGAGTAAACGAATGTGACCAGCAAAGAAATGAGAATTATTTACAATTCGATTTGGGAAAAAAATAGCGTTCTGTGACGTGTTTCCCTCGGATCCATACTGTATAAAGATCAGATCAACCGACGTGTTTGACCCACTGTCAAATCTATCGATGTCTAGGACGATTTATTAAAGAAGATAGTTATACAATTGTAATCGATTGTCCTGCGAGGACGGCATCCAAGTAAACAATTGAAAAAAAGAAACATATTATAATCCAAATATAGATTTTGTAATTAACGTGTGTCTCAACGTGTCGTAACGCAACGCAATTTTTGTCGCATTATTAAGAATATAAAACTTGAATTTCTTGTGTGACGCAAAATTTCATCCGTCAACCTAGTTTATAACAAAAGTAACGTACCTTGTTTTTGGCTAGGGAGTGTAGGGCTAATATTGCTTCGTTCGTTTGGCTTTGTTGATACATGAATAGAAAAAAACTTTAATGGCAAGGAATATTCAAATCTTCCGCCAACTATAGTAAGGCTTAAAGAGTTTCGGAATACAACTATTTGCAATAAATTGTCTATTTGTAGACCTTGATATAATTAGAAGTTGTTTTCATCCTGCAACAGGCCCTCCCTACTGCGGCGAAAACAAATTCATAACGATACGTAAACGATAACCCCCTGATAAATTAGGAAATAACAAGGTTATGACTGGTGTAATTTTTTTGCGTAAGTACGCATTTTTCGTCGCTCACAGTAAAAAACAAAAGACGACAAATGTGTCTAGCAACGAGGAATAACTGAGATCGCTCGACTATTTCGAGGGGTTTGTTCACGTATAATGACCTATACACATCACTATCACTGCTATCAACGCTTTTATATCCAAGAAGTATATAGGGTGACTATCAACTAGGTAATCGCTTTTTATACTGAAGGGGGTGATCAGTATACGTAAGCGACACCTTAATCAGAGGTTTCAATGATTATTTGACCAGAACCCTCTATTTAGACAGAATTTCAGGGCAGAGTGCACGACTTCAACGTGTCGACGCTTATTAATGCCAGCTTATTGGTATCCAAACTGGACGCGTAACATAAATTTGCTTGTCTATCAAACTGGAACCTTCATTTTTCGGAATAGTGGGCCTACAGCTGATCGTTGATACGAAAGGGTACATAATAATTGCTTAGTTGAGCCCAGTTACCTTTTTTAGGTAGCCGCAATCAGAGTTAATGACCTATTGTGGGATTGTTGTGTCAAGCAGCAAGCCGATATGACAAATTTCAATTCGCTCGCATCCGTTCGGTTACTTTGATTTCGTTATTTTTTTAATCCTATCGATCTGCTGGTGAACTGGGAACGGAAAACGGTTCTAGTTCCGCATTGCAAAAAAGAACCCACTTGATTTCGGAACGCAAAAGCCCCGAGAGGAACCAAATTCAGCCTATAACAGTCGGCTGCGTTCGTTGTTTACCTCAACTGTTGCCGTTGAGAGTCTGTTGCCAACAACAAAGTGCAGTAATCTTTCTTACTTTTAAGGGGGCCCATTAGCAACGATTTTTTACGAATACTTTATTGGCCATCAAGCTTTCTCCTATAACGTACATTGGGGCAGATTGTTCTATTACCGTTGCGTGTTTTCGCCATTGTATAGAAAGCGTTTGTTTGCGCTTATGTCGCAGTTGTTTTTTTGTACTAATCGTTACGCTAAACTTTTAAGCAAAGGAACATGTCCGTCAAAGTTACACTGGCCAAACACCTAATCCAGGTAAAATAATGTGAAAATTTTGTGGATCGTGAAATACCTGAATGTATATCTCGGGATAGCAAGGCTATACTGAATATAAGACTACTCTATAGGTGTATTTAAGTTAAGATTTCTTCGGCGCTACGCACTTTAAAAGTTGATGAATCTTCCATATAAAGCAGCGAATTGGATAATGTTTTAGAGTTCTCTTGTCATTTGTGCCAAGATATCAACGAATCGACAGGCTTTTAGCAGATAAAAAGCAAGCCAGGTTCCTATGAAATCAACGTTTTCTTTTTACCTATAACAAGTTATTAGGAATATGGTTGCAAAATTTACTAGTGAAAATTCTTCTTTTGGGCTTTAGCTAGGTACATTGATTTAGATTCCAAAGCAGAAATATCTTCTTATATATGAAACAATAGCGGAAAAGCGTAGCTTTACAATAATAGGTTTGTACATTCAAGATGCATCCCGGAAAAGTATTTCCAGGAAGGTTCATCTAGGTTCATCCAGGATTTTTTAAACGGGAGCTCAAAATACCATAGTTCGCGCACTACTTAACACGACAATAGACCGCTTTATTCTTTTAGTGTAAAATGAACGACTATATATGTTTGTCCTGCTAGGGGAACAGCACTGAAAACTGGTGCAGCTTAAGGAAATTCATTTCTGGAGTATCGCAGTCAGTACTTGTCTGAATCCTGCTGGAAATAAAATATAGAGATTCGTCTTTGGTACATTAGATTATACATATTTTAAACTTACCATAATCTCGTTTACATTGACAATTTAAATGTAGCATAGTTCAGCCATTCTATAATTTTTAGTAAAGTAGTAGGGATAGTCACTATGGAAATGATTTGTGTTTAGTTTCAATTAATGCGGAACCTCTATTGCTTACAAATAGTCCATCCTGATTTTACTGAACTAAGCCTTCTGTTCCATATGTAATAATCTATCCTGCTTATGAATGTTTGCATACAGTTAACTGTAAAGCTACGGCTTCAGGCTGTTAGACGTTAGCAGATACAACCGCTACTCCATACGGTTCGTTAATTACATAGGGGAGTCGAGCCAACTCACGCTCAGATTCTAACTACGTCTACGCTGATTTTGTCGTATTATAGCAAATAGTGGAATATTGCCCTCTGAATGTCTAACAGTGTTCTCTGGGACAGGTAGTCGGATAAAATTAGATGATGCACCGTTAAACAGGAAACGCTTAGTCCTCAGACGTTTTCCGGGAACCTGGAGGAGAATTTCGTAGAAATTAATTTACCTTTACCAATCTAATAGGTCTACGAAATCGGCAAAAAACGGAAAAGGGCTCACATTTATTTGTAATTGAGTGAATCTGGATGGATGAGCAGCTCTTGTTTGACAGGGCATGAATACGCTACTGGGGCCGTCTGTAGCGTTGGTCAGTATGGAGAGACTAGGAAATGTCGCTTTGTCGCGACACCCCAGGGACCCAGCCGCCGTGAGCGGATCCAATTGTAAAGTCAAGCAAACAAAATGAAATAGCTTGCCACTCTATGCGTATGGCTGTAGGATGATAACTGGATCATCGGAGTCCATTGGGAACTGTACTGTCGATTACTGCGCTTCGCTCAGAAAGCGAAAGTTCTCTTTGAAACTCCGACGAATTAGACTAGCAATCACACCTCTGCACCTTCCTATGGGCACGACCCCCCTAAATTGGGACTTTTCCTTATGCTCTGTTTCTAGGAGTGACTGTAAATAGAAACAAATAGTTTAATTGAATGTTACATGTGCTAGAAGCGTGACGTCTGGTGGTCATGCTCATTCAATATAGCCATTATCCACCGATATTAGTTTTAATTTGGGATCAGATCTACTTAGTAGTCAAATACTTTCTAAACTGTTGAATTTAGACTTGCTAATGTGCTACCTAAATCCTTGCTATTGTCTTTCAAGAGCCGTCCGGTCGGCAATTGATGCAAGCGCGTGTTAGGAAACAAAACTGAAAGTTAATGAAAGATGCCGAGATAAGGGCTAAAGTCCAATACCGGGATGATTTGCAGCCAACAATACTGTTTGCATATCTGTTATAGATAATACTTGTTCATACATAATAAAATTACCTAGCGTATTTGTTTATTATATATAATACACTTTTCTGTGCATATGAAAGCCATATATTACTGAAGGTTAGATCGCTCATAGCATCTATCTTTCCAACGAGATTTCGCCTATTGCCTAGCATATGGTAAAGCGGAGAATCGTACATTCTTCGTAGAAATCCCCATATTTCCGAAACGAGCAATTTTCCGTCAAGCTATCAAGGTTCCACGTAAGGAAAGGCTAAGAAATCGCCCTAATCTGGACTTGTTCATTCTGTTTCACTTCGGAGAACCGCACATAGCCGTTCGTACCAGTTACTCTCGCATACGTACGATGTTTCGTCAACTTTTAGTTTTTAGATGATGCACTTGTTGCCGGTTCCTTAACTGGCTGTTCCATATACAAGTGTAGGCTTATTTGCGACAACATTAGACCCGATAGAGCAATTTTGCGGAGTTCAAGACTGGCAGCGCGAGCTTTTTTTAGAAATGAACGCACCCCTCAATAAATATACTTACAGAATCTGATTCAGCTAGAAGTGTTGGTCCAGAGAGACGGAGAACGAGCGTTACCTGTCGGCAGACGTGCCCATGGCTGTTCACCCCGGAACATATTCGCTTAGGTAGTTTTGTGAGAAGAAATGAATTTTTATTAGGACCTTTCGCGTTCTCATACAAATATAAACATTTTACCTATCGTCGCACAGCTACACGGGGTTGCTTGGATAAAGATCATAACCTACTTCGAATAGGACAGTTTTAGTTTTGGTTTGGATATCAATAATGCATCAATATATGAACTTCTGCATATAAGCTGTAGGCGTCATTGTCCCTGCAGTATAAATTGAGAATTAAGTTGCTTTGTGCCTTCTCAGTTTTCGCACTTCATTTGCCCATAGTTTCAACAAATACTATTATATTACGGCTACAAGGCAAGCTAGCATGCCCTTTACTGGCAACTGGAAACGAAAGCTCGGCTCTAAAGCGATAAAATAACTAGTATTATATGCTAACAACATGGCTATAAAACAACAATAATAGCAACGGCTATATAAGACGCGACCTTGTGTTTAAAAGTGCATTTTCACTGTCTACGTTATTTCGATTTTTATAGAAAAAAAAAATTGACTCAAACCTGCCTAAGCAAACTAAGGCGTTCTGCCGTGCAGAACGAGGCCCTTATAACTAATTGAATGACGGTTAACGAAGGTCCATATATGATTCAGCTATATATAGCTCTATAAGAAAAAATCCGATAGCCAACGCAAACTAATTGTAATCCTCAACAATGCCGGTCGCACATAGCAGACATTGTGAGAGCCCTCCTCTTTGAAGGTAAAGTCCTCCTGCACTGATTATATTCCCCAAAAATCACTTTGAGGAATTAGCATCTTTTTTACATTTCGTCAGCGTACATTTTAATTTCGAACATGGCTGGCTTTGGCGCTCAGTACCAGATCTGGAAATTTCTGGTGAAAACGGGTATAAATATGAGTTGGTTGGGAATTAGGTCGGAAAGAGTTTTGTTAGATGAAGAATACATCTGCTTTAATCTAATGAACGTTTATAAATACGTATAAAGGTGATTGCTTAAAATCTTTGAAGCATACATCTTTTCCCAGTTCAGTATTTGAGGCCAAGATTTGCTAGTCATGAAGTGGCGTTTAACTGAAGAAACCCTAAATAATATTTTAGAGTATATTGTAAACTATAAAGCACTTGATCGAGTGGGAAATACAGACTAAGCTTACCTGTTTGCATATACAAAAGCCTACCTTTAAAATCGTGAAAATTAAGTTCACGAACCACTCCCTCGCCCTATTTATAACTGTCACTTTTAGGCGAATGGCCTCACTATAAAAATGCTCGTCTGTATTCATTTTAACAAAGTAAATATGATATACATAAGGTAATTTTTGGACGTTAAACGTTCTAAGGAGAAGCTAGGAGCTAACAGGCCTCTGTGTGGCCCAACAGAGACTGACATGGAAGAAGGCTTACTCAACAAGAACAATACGAAAAGACAGCGCCAGCAATAACGAAAACAATACATAGAACAGGGATGTTAAAATTAAAGAATTCATTAATGTTAAAAAAGGAATAAAAACATTCCTATTTTGTGTTCTGTATGGCTCTGGGTACCTTTAATAGAAATACATGCCCGTGTCTGTAATCCGTGTAATAGGCAGGAAACTTTCGACTGGTCCTTCTTTGGGAATTCTGATCAATGCGCGTGATTAAAAGAATGACAAACTGATTATTTATAAGACGAAAGAACATCGGCATCAGATCGATTATCGACAAGGCAGTGAACTCTTACATCGAGATGCTCGTTTCTCGACAATCGATTAAACCCAGCCACCTCATTCAAGTCAATCAATCACGGTCGCCTCATATTGGGATAACATCAGGAATATGAGACCTGAAACAAAACATTAGATCGATCTCTACCGCAGGTAACGTAAACATGCGTTACATAAACTAAAGGTGATCTACTTCTTTTCATTAATAAACATTTGTTGGTGTGACATGGCAACGTCTTACTCATTGAGCTAACGACCGACAAACTAAGCAAGAAACGAGTAGATTCAAGGGGTAGCTATCGTCACCCTGTTGAGAACCTAATTTTAGTTACAAGGTTTCGCCCATAAGATCTTTGTATTATACCTACTCCGTTCGGTTTACTATATGTTGGAGATTTAAACTAAAAAAAAAAAGAAATCAAAAAGCTTCTTTAATATTTGTTTTTACCTGTTTAATCATTCTATAAACTGTTAATTTTAATGCCTACTAAATGAGATAAAGTGGCCACGATCGAGCAAGAGTTTTTTTGTAGGTCTATGAACCTCATTAACATCTCTCGATAATCCGTTGTGTACGGCAAATATGACACGTAGTCGCCGCTTCTGGGAAACGTAACATTTCTTCAAATTAAGCAATAATTATCTGATATTCTGACTCACATTGTACTTTTCTTTGTACTGCACTTCATCACGTTGATCACGTAGAAAAAACTACCTTAAATATTTCTCTCTGGTTATTCTACGTTGGCTTATTATAGCTTGTTTGCACTGGCTATGTCTCTATGTTTTGCTATATATACGGAGCATTCAAGTATTTGTATAAAATTACCTGCTTTCTTTTTTTGTACCTTGTTTGCGCACTGGACCGGGAGATTGATAACAGACGGGAAACAACCTATTCCCCTTTGGTTATCCTGGTACTTTTGCCGAGTAATAAAAGCAATGTTATTGTCCGATGATGATGTGTGGTTGTGAAAACTTCGGCGTGCAAAAAATACCCATAGAATCCGATGGGATACCTCTCGCTCTTATGGCTCTTAAAACACTCTTTATGGCTGTCTCGGATGCGAGTCATCCATACACGGTGCCCGAATAGTTTGCCAACAGTATCAAAATAAGTAGGATCAAAATAATCGATCTTCTGTGCACATCAGCTTCGTTGTTTAGTATGACAAAGGAAACAAACGAATTCTGTCTTTCTATAGATGTTCCTAGAATCATAGTGTTGCGTTAATTGTTACGCGTAGAAGTGTCTTTAGTTGCGAATACTTCAAGGGTAAACAGACTCAAAATATGACTACTACTTCGTAAATTGTCCTAATTTTACTCTTCGATGCGAAACCTTCGAAAGCGGATCGATCGACCTATGCTACTTCTTTCGTGTTCCACTTGCGCGTGCAATGCTGACCCTACTGCATAAGCCAAGAAAACTGTTCCCTCAAACACCCGATCCGCAATTCACTATTTCATATACTAAAGATTTTTTAGTATATTCAATCCATTCTTCCTTGATGCGCGATGAATGTATATTTTTCATTCTGCGTGTATGTCTGTACGTGGGAGACCTCTGCACGTTGGACGTGCAATAACACATAGTGGCGCCTATCTAACATTGGTCGAATGGCAGGTCAGTCTTAATCCCGTTTTGTTCTTTTCATACTGCATCCACCAGTAGCGATTTATTTGTCGCTCCAACTAGGCTAGCATTGACCGCTCCCAGGTGAACCCCACCATTTTCTCTCCTACGATCCACAGTCGTATGTGTCGCCCTTACCGCCGCATACACAGAGCTATAAGGACGTAGTAGTTGCAGTAATTGTCATTTTGTGACTCCTTCTGTCCCAGCAGAATGCTAGCGAGACAGCGACATCTGGTGGGTAGAAGGTCGATTCGGTACGATGCCGTGAACCTTAGCGGCGTTGTAGCTCGTGTTATTGTTGAAACTGTTTAACTACTTGCCGATCCAAGTGGCCATCCATCCCTGCTGGTAGACGGTAGAAGTAGGGCTTGGTAGAACTCGAAGTGTTATGCCACATTCGGCTCTGGCAAGGCGATACGTACGACTAAAGAAGAAAGGAGGTGATCAAAGCCAATGGGTGTTCAATGGGGCGCCCTGTCTCTGATCACCTACCACTCAAAAAGGAAAAACGTAATGACCAGATATGAAACAAGCCAGGCAACCTTAATAAGATAACCTAGCTCAAAGGAACAGCTGGTTGGCTAAATCCGACAACTGGATTTGGCTTGCTCACCCTCATCTAAGGCTAAGGCGAAACAAGGCTCATAAAACTGGTTGAGATGTTCTATTGTATATATGGCTTCAAGACGACTGCTCGAATCCGCCACTTGTCATATTTCCCATGGCAGCCATGATAATCGATTGTAGAAACCGTTTACTCAAACGGAGAACTAAATGCCGACAAACTAGTTGGTATTGTTAAAACGCATCATGATCACCGCGTTTTTATTCTTTAACATTCGTCTTCTGTGTGAAACTAATCGAGATATTTTATTACCTCGTTTACAAACTTTGCGGCCGTGTGTAAACGGGCAGATGCATTTACGGGTCGGGTCTCGGCACCGAGCAAGGTATGGGTATTATAATATTCTTGTACAGCAATCATTTCCCAATGCGTATCGTAAAATCATATGCTAAAAGTCCTTTGCGATAGTGAACATTATTATTGCGACCAGGATTGAAACTGAACGTTTACTAAGCCTCTTCATTGGCGCGTTTTACGGAAGTCCTCAATCAAAGAATGCAAATTACGTTAGCCCAAGTTACTCTGACCCGGTTTAGCTACTATATAAACTCCTGAAGTCATTATACTAGTATTAGTACTATTATATCGCCTATTTTTGCATACTGGTTTGAACCTGGGTGGATCCGTGTAGCTAGCGTGCTGTGGTCTCTTCATATATAAAATGTTTAAACTTTTTCAGTATATTCATTGTAATGTACGTCCCGGTGAAATAACGTTTACAATCCAAGTTGCAAGTTCACTGGTCTAGCGCTATACATACGTGCGGCTGTTTAGAGACGATTGTTCAAGCCATTGATGAAAGCAGTTTCACTTCAAACACCTCACTTTATGTAGTCGAATAGTTGTTAATATTCTCTGGCTTGTTACGAGCTTCGTGGAACAGCGGACTGTTTAGTGTTTGCATAACGTAGATCGAATTGCCATAGACCAACAAGCTTCAATAGATTCGAACAAATCAAAAGAAGATCTAGTAAAAAGGACAACTTACTTAAATTTCACTTAGATTCGATGACGGCGCACGAAGGATGAGTAGCGGTGGAGATTTCAGTCCGACTGGCGGTTACGTGACTTGTACATCCAGGTTTGTTTCAGATTAGGTCTCTGATGCTAGGTGTAACAAAACCGTACTTTTAAGTCTAGAAATTACAGCTAGAAAAAGGTAAAAACGTAACGTGACGGCGTATTTCACTGGTCAGACACAGACGGAATCCTTGCTATAAGTAGATATTTAATATTTCTCTTTATTAGCGTCATTCCGACAACCTACCAAGCGGGCTATTTGAATTTTCAAATAATGTTTGAACCAAGTTGATTCATTTCAGGACCGCTTAGGCTCACATTCTTCTTTTATTATTTTCCTTTATGAGCATGCACTGCCTCGTCATCTTGTAGATTCTGAATAGACCGCTTACTCATTGTTAGCAATTAGAAAGTGTGATACCTATATAGCAATGATACAGCAAGAGAGGAAGTAAAAAAAGCGAATTATAAATAGTCCTCACTTATGTTTTTCATTATCAATTAAGGCTGATGTGAGATCGGGAAAATAGACCGTATGCAATAGACAGAAGCTAGCTTTGAGCAGGAACTATATGCATTGCTATTGAACCACTTTTTTTTTATAACTCATCTACGTTATAATCGGCCCAAGGAGAATCGAACCGAATTATACTATCGTATCTTTGTTCCGAAACGTTTTCTAGCAGTCGTCTGGTAGTTTTCTTTGCCTCTCCCTGATGGTGGTTTAAAGCATTTGTATTTCTATTAGTAAACGTATGCTAATGTTACTTCCGTACTTCACTGATCTGTCAACGGTCGATTTAGACATAGTAGTAGTGCGGCGTCTATTTCAATAGGTAGCAAAGGGAACGTCAAATCAAACTGGGTTTGCTTACCGGTGCAGGCATTAGTATCGTTATTAGACTTAGTTTTTCCATAGGGTAACGAAGATATTACAAATATATGATATCACCGACGGCGCTTTCAGCCATCAGTGCCCTTAAAAAGCTAGGGGCTCGTAAAAAAAGGATACAATATTGTCTAGATCATACCTACCATATCGCTCTTATTATTTACCTTGAAGGTTGAACGCGGATTAAGAGTCGGATCCCTGATCTGACCCGCGTGATATTATGTTTTCTGTCGAACCGAAACCTCTTCAGTAGGTAAATAAAGGCAGACGGACAATTTGATGAGTGGGGACAACTTCAGCTGTAAACTGAAATTTTTCCTAAACATCGTTCGATTTTCTACTGATGCAAAATTATTAGGACTTATAAGGGTAAATTGTCTAATTGCAGAAGTGTACTCATCCGTTGGTCTTCGCATCCATTGGAGGCAACAAAACCACAAACGGATATAAAAACTTCGTTTATTTTGAATACAGACAAATTTGTCAATGCTTTAACAGATGGAGGGTATATGCAATATTTATCATTGTATGACTTCTAAAGAATTTGAGAAAAATTTCTGCAACCCAATGTGGAAAATCCGCAATGCGGATTAAGTTGAATAAATTGAGAATTCATCGGATAAGGTGCAAGAGTGTGCTTTGGGAAATTGGATAGCCTACGCCTACTTAGGTATGCTGCATTGTTCGGTGCGTGACTGATCTGAACGAAACTCTAGAGTTTAAGCAGGCTACTATTGCCTCAGTTACTGTTATTAATAAAAACGTATTTAATTAATAAGGGAATGCATCTTGTTAAATGACCTGTGAGCTGTTTTGACCCAAGTCCGAAGCCGTGACCGGTGCGAAGTGTACCTACGTTACTTAAACACAGCCCTCGAATATGTGTATTTTTCAATATTATTCGTCAAATACTCGTCTCCTCGCACTGCATCTGAACCCACGATTAGGACTGTGATTGGAGGCCTCGCCTCCGCAGTCCTTCTGACCTGCCTTCTTCGTCGATCCCTCTAGGATTGGCTTCACTATTAATACCATTTAAGGCGAAAACCTGGGAAAAACCTAGAACTGTGATTTCAGATGCGCTATCTTTCGCTGAGTCTTCCTCAAAGATAGATTTCATAGCGTGTCAGGTAGACAAAGCATTCGAAACCGATTGCTTTCAGTCTAAGGCAAGTCTGTGTAACTTAAGCCTTCGCGTGATGGCTTAGGCGGTACACATGTCATCTTTGAATGTAGCGTAATCGAACGTTGATTTTCGAATCGTTCGCTTGTTTCCTGTTATGTATGACACAAAAGATTATCGTATACCCTGGCCGGCACGAGCTGTTTTACCTTCACTTAAGAGAACTATAGATGAGTAAACACCATAGTTTTTTTGCTTGTAAGCATATCGGAAAAACGCTATTTGTAGGGTACAACATTCTCGCTAACGTGGAATAGAACGGACGAGGGTTTTCGATAATTTTAAATGAGTTTTATGTACATCGATTACTTGTCATCCTGCTTTTTGTCGAATAGACAGATACTACTGTTATTAAACATCGAAGGTATCAAATCGCATTTTAGATATTTATAGATAGATATAGTATCAAATCGGACTTTCTAGAGATTATTTCCAGAAGTAATGCAAATTAAAAAAAGCATATCCAAAATGGGTTCATACGGGCATTTGTTTAATTATGTTCACCGTGCCCATTTTTGGACGCATGACAAAACCTATATTGAATACTAATTTTCTAGATTATTAGTATATTCATCAAAGAATGAAGACACCTATAGATCTTCCAACAGTCATCTTTCCTAATCTGACCTACTAAGACACAGTTCTACCGGGGTAAATCTTAAGCCGGCTGGCGGTACGATCAATTTTTCGTTCTGTTTTAAGTGGCGCTATAATAGCAGTTTTTCGAAGTTATCACTAAAATTAAGTTTCTTTTTTCAATGACGTTGCTTTTTTCACTCAGACGAACAGGTGGTTGAATTTATTATTAGAATCTTCTCTGTTTTCCTTGCGAGGATATGAGCTACGTCCGATTCTTAATAGTCCTTACCGTATAATTATTATATCATATGGAAACCATAGTACAAGTACTACAGATCTGAATCGGTTTTGTTTAATTGTGTCTGAATGATTGAATGGAAAAATATAAACGAAATAACTCGAATCTGGTGGATATGGTACGAATTTCACTGTTCTACTTAAAAACTGTGAAAAATATTTCAAAGACTTATCTTAGGACAAGTTACGTGCAAACACAAAGCAGGATGGTCCTGATGACGTAGTTTTCATATTTTGTTTACATAGTTTGTACCTGAGTTTGAGATGGTTAGAATGTTCTCCTAACTAACAATAATTTTGCATTTGGCCAGTTTTTTGAAAGAAAGTAGAAAAACTTCCCTTATTTACGTGTTTCTTTACATTTCCACATTATAGACTTTTTTTTTTTTATTAATATCACTTTGCATGAGTAACTCAGATTTTTACAAGCTTGCAACCGTATGATAGTTAACTCCTTCGTAAAAGCCGTGAGTTCTTCCGCAGACGAATATGCGAGATGAAGTGGGTTTTTGGAAAAATACAACAGTAGAATATTTCAAGATAATTGCCAAAGAACATAAAACGTCCTACATAAATAACGTACTTTCTACCATACATTAGAGCAAGGGGACAATATCAGTACAACTTTATACCGTGATGCGTTGTGTCAACGGCTAAACAGATATAATTTCGAAACTATAAATGTTTACAGGAAACATAGCCGTTTCTACTGTACTTTTTAGGGGATCTAAGATCTAGGGGATTTAAGATCTATCATGGCCAGTTGATTACAAGATGGATGCTAAACGCCATAGACACTAATTGAAGACTGGGGATTAAGGGAATTTTTTTTGTGCAAGCCTCCATTAGGCGTACAACGGATGATACCGCTGTGGTGGGCGTAGACCATCTTCTGCCAGCAAATCGACATGAATTAACGGTTTAAAAGAACAATAGTAAAATGTAAAGAAAGGCACATAAGGGCGTTAACTAACTTTTCGACATGCTATGATTTTGTAAGAACTTTCTCACATATCACGTTTTTGAATAGATTTCAAATCGTCGAGAGGGCCCCGTCTGAAGTTTTGCTGTGCTTGTTTGGCCCAATGAAATTTCGAAAATGTATAAATCTGGAGACCTCGCCGTGTAGTTGCTCCTGTCCATTGAGCAATTGATTCTGTTCACCGTCAACCATCTGACCCATGGGATAGACGAAATGTACGTGACGGGCCAGTATACGAGCAAACATGTTTGAACCTTCGTAGAGCTTGTACCCGCTATAGAATATTTACATTATCGTTGAACGCTCGGCCTTTAGTCCGCAACGTGTGAAAGGCGCTAATCCTTCCTACCGATTCGCTCCGAATTTTCTTCCGGCGTTGTATTTAATACGACCTTTAATTAGCCGTGGTTGATCATTCTCTACATCTAGCCTTATGACATGAGATTCGGACTGAGCCACCCGTTGTTCTATATACTTATTATATTATATTATTTATTACATCATTATATATAATATTATTATAGAGTATTATGCAAAGGGAATCACGCGAGTGTGACGGGCAAAAAGCCCATCTAAGGAATTCACGATATGGTTTATGTTAGGTAGTTATGAAGACTTTCGCAGGAACATCTGCAAAGTATGCCTCTAACATAATAAAATATTGATGACCAAATAGAACATTGCGCATTTTCAAAATAAAACCCGCGAAGTATTATTTCGTGGTAAACCATTATATGTACTACTAGTTGTAGACGTATTTTTTGTATACCTAGGCAAATTACAATATCTGTTCGTCTTTGACTGTGCCCATAAAGAGATGTCCTACTAACCTAGCACCGTTCCTAGCGTTCGCTAATACAAAGCCTTCGACTGTCGAATAAAGCCGGTTTAAAACCTGTTGTAGGCTCAAGTGTTAAACGGGGATGTCAAACACAGCACGTAATGAATTGCATAATTTCTTTACAGATTGCTACCAGTTAAATGACGGGCCTTACAAGGTCTTAGGCAGCGGCTGCTCGGTCGACCGCGAAATGTTCCCTGAAGGCCAATCTATGCTAATTAGGGTTAAGGTGCACTGTCGGGGACCGGCCACTTCGAGTGTGCAGAACGTCACAACTGTGAAAAATGAAACCACAGCTCATTATAAAATCAGCGCCCAGAGAACAGCTTCTTTAGAGGACAACTAAAATGACTTTTGGATTTTACTTGACAAGCCAGTGCTAGAATTTATCGCAAATGGCAATGGAAAAAATAAATAGTCTTTTTTTATCTGGACAAACAATATAGGTTATTCTAAAATATGACTGTGAATACATTTTTTATGTCTTGCTTAGTGAGGCAAAAGGTCAACTCATGGCTAATCAATACATATTTTGGGTTTTTCTTCCGGTATTACTGTTAGGCGTTGTTTCAGATGGCTTATGGCGCTCTCGAACCTAAAACGAAAAGTACCCATACTGGCTGACTGGAATCCGGACCACCCCACGCATATATTTCAGTGTCAGTATATTTTATAAACTATGCCATTGTGGTATCTGTGAAGAGTCATACATAAGCTTTCAGCATTATTCCAATCATAGAACAGAGCTAACGCAATAATTTTTAAAGCGAACTAGCCGGAACGAGCATTTCACACCTACTGCTCTGAGCTAACATAGCCGTAGACGTGTATTTATTAATTAATTTTTATTGTATATATATATATATATATATATATATATATAGAGAGAGAGAGAGAGAGAGAGAGAGAGAGAGAAACACCGGCAATTACATAAAAGAGGGTTTACCTTGAATGCACTCTAAACACTGATAGCCCTCTAGAGCGCTTTCCTGCTTTCAAGTTGTCCAAGGCCGAACATTCACGTAGGCAATATGCTTTGCTTTTACGCATAGTACTCGGTCATAAAAAGACTACCCTTTCAGCACCGGGAAATCAGCTCTCCGACAATCTCTCGGAGTAATATGAAGTAGCTTCGGGCTCGATAACCACCCATTACCCGACATGGGCCCTATAGCGGGACGCTAGGAGTCACAAGAACATAGCCGATTTCCGTAACTAGGTGCACTTTTTCGTTTGAAGACCTGTGTTCTTTTTTGTCTTTATCTCAAGGGCATGATTTTGCCTCAAAGAAGGCCGGAACAGGAGCGCGATGCTACGCAGGTTTCTCGGCGACCATAACAAATCGCAGTACTCATTTTTGCAAAAAAGATAGGGAAATCGCCTGCCCCGTATCGAGGCTTGTCGGGATGCCAGTTGGTATTGCAGATCAATCAATGCTTCGTGTAAA